CCCTCGATTACCTTAAAAAAGTGACTTGCAGAAGACTTCGACGACTCAGTACTCACCTCCCTTTGTTACAATCACATTGTCCACAGGCAAACGTTCCATTTCCTTCGGTACACTTGGTGCTGTTTTCCTCCTGTTCAGGTTACAAAGGGTTACGTGCACCGTGTTCAGTGCTAGCAATACAGTCTTAGCCGGATTCGCATTTCGCATCACGATCAAAATCTCTCAGTAATCTAACCGTTATGTTACACTTAGGGCAAGTCGGGTAAATCCTGCAGGCTTAACTGAAAGCTACCCACAAGAACAAAAGACGAATTTCTTTGATCTTTATCCAGGATGGGAAGAAAATAAATGTCTCGGGATATTTATGAACGTAAAAGCGAGAAGGTGAAGGTCTAGGAGGGAGGAGAAATAAGAAGATCTGCAGACTTTTTTTGAGCAACTGAAATAAAATTTGAGTACCTAATAAATCTTCCGAATTTCTTGGTTCAATTTTCAAAATCATTTCAAGAGAGAGTGATATGATGGCATGGGGAAACGAGGGGGAAACTTTTTTTTCCAAGGAAGTCGCCATAGAAGCCTTATTTTTTTCCCTTTTGGAGCCGCTCTCGCACTCCAGGCTTGTCCTTCAAGTTTTACACCTATCTTTTAGGTGATTACATCATTCAAGACAAAGAGTCCATGCACAAAAATTTCATTCAAAGTGGCTTACCGCCATACTTGGCTTCCCACAGTCGCACTCACAAACATAATTCAGGTCTAGTTCTACAGCTCCAAATCCTGGTACACGAATTGTGAAGCTACAAATCCGAAAAAAGAGAGAAAAGAAAATAAGCAAACGATAGTTACAAAAAATGCTTTGACGAGCGAGCATTCACTAGAGTCTGTAAGTGATGCACTGATAGCTCCTCACAATCAAAGTTACACCAAAATTTGAAGCAGTGGGAGAACTGGGAACAAACTCGGCCTCACTGACCTGCTCTGCTGCGCAGCTCCTGCCTCAGGGCATTGTTGTAACGTCACTGACACATCAAAATAAACCTAAAGAAAAAACTTTTCGCATCAATAAGAGATCATGTCATCTCAAAAATGAAAGCAAAAAACCTTATTAATTTTTTTTCTGCTGATGTAAGACACAATACCTTTTCTCCAATTTTCACATTTGAACATCTCTGGATTTGGTCATTGACTGCATTAGGCCTTAAAATATAACAGTATCAACCAGTCAGTACACATATTAGTAGTATTATATTATCATATTAGTATGATGGTTTCTGTGCAAGAGAACTGTGATTGTAAAAATGTCTAATACCAACCTATGTTATTGCTTCTGTGCATAAATTAGATCAGAAGAGACAGATAACTGACATACAGGTTTTTTGTACAACCACTTTTCACGGTGCCACTTACCCACAATTAGCTTTGACAGTAACTGACACTTTCTCCGGAGCATTAAAGACCAAGCTGACTGACGATACAATTTCCTGTAACAATAGGAAAAAATAACAAGTCTTAGTTAATTGAGCATAGAGGAATGTAAATTTAAAATTATTTAGGAAATGTTAAAATTATGATTATGTGGAAAATTATAAGCAGTGTTTAAGCTGAGTATTTGTGCAAATGTCTTATGACAGAGTAAGAGTACTATAGTAACTGTTTTTGTAGCTGGAAATCATTTTTTCTTAAGGTCCTCTTCTGTAAAATTTAAGACAGCAGACAAACATTCTACTCTCTGTTAATGGTAACCACCTCTATTTTACCAAATACCTGTATTTACAAAAAGAATCCATAGTATCTCTAAAAAACAGAATTTTCCCTTCAGGCCTTGTCAGGTTCACCTCATATTTTCTAGCAATCAGGTCAACAATGTTTCCGGAGTCAACTGCAAGCTCTCCACTAACAGCTCCCAAGTCACTCCACATGGATGCCACACTCTACAAAACATATCAAATTAAATGGAAGACCTTTAGACAATATATATATATATCATAAGAAAAAATTTGAGAAACATAAACCATCCAAAGTTTGTTGGTTTGCTTCCCTAAAAACTGGAAAACATTTGATACAAGAAAGCCCTGTCTGTAACTCCACATGAACTGTTTTCAGTGTTTTGGTAACCACAAATGGAAGAACAACACTGAAATTATTTGAATCCAACATGTTATCTTGGATAATCTTATTGAATACAAAGACAACTCCTACCACACAAAAAATGGCATAAACATTTAAGACAAAACTTTTAATAAATACCTGGTACAGACTGGAGACGTCCTTAACAACAGCAAATATTGGGATAATATTACTCTGCTGGAGTCTGTCATGAAGCTGAGCCAGAGAAGGATAATCCTGTGAAATGATGAAACAACTCCTCTTATCAGTAACTATGACTGGTAATATCAACAGGCAGTTTATATATCTTGAGATGCAATCCTGCATATTCTACAATTATAACACCAAATGCAATTAAGCTCTTCGTTTTCCACAAGATCTCTCTTTTATTTCCAGACATCCAAAGTTACTTTTAATGTAAAAGGTAATGTCAAAAATTGATGATTAAAAAGGTATTAAAGGGCTCCTTCCTCCACAACTGAATACATATTGATACTCGAAATTACTATGACTGTCCTGGGTTGTTTGAAGGGTAAATAATGCTATCCACAGGATAAATCTCTATATCCATGGAATAAGAACAGTATGTTTTATTCACTCTTATTCACTGAATAGCAATTTATCCATTGGATAGCCTTATCTACTCTTTGGACAACTGGACCCTCAGGGTCCTGTTGTTATACAGCAGGCTGGTGTATAAACCCAACCAAACCCTCATATGATTCATTGTGTGAAATTTAACTAAACCTTTTTATAAAAGCAAGGTTATTTTTGAAGTAGACCTTGAAATAGATTAATTACCCAAATAGATAGATAGAGATAAATCTCTCCATCTGGTGGATAACCCTTCATGTTTTGCTGTCATTTATCCCTTGGATAGCAATTTATCCATTGGATAGGGTTATTTGCTCTTTATACAATTAGGCCTAAGAGTGTTTCCAGCTAAAAACCAACCAAGCACAGCCCCTGATGAACATGGTTGGGTAATTTTTAGCACTGGGTACAAATCACCCTTTCCTGTCAATCATACCATTTCATTTGACTTTGAGTAGAAGTCATAGTCTCCTTGAACATCATTTTTCAAGTGGCATTTTCCATCATTCGGAGTCACAATACCACCAAGCTGAACAACAAAATCATAAACAAATCACTTAGCTATATATGATGGATAATTGAGCTTAAAATTCTGTACAAGGTCAATTGAAGGAAAAGCCAATATGGCAGGCATACTGTATATGAGAAAAGGAATGATACTTTCCATCTCACTTCCAGGGGCAAATGATAAAAATAATAATATCAACAACAACAACAATGATAACCATACAGATAACAGTAATAATAATGGTTTATTCAATAGATTCCACTGAGCAGCTCCTCATTGAAACTATCTTTGATCTTATAATACAATTAAAGTAAAATAAAATAAGTTAAAAATGATGACACTAACAAAATCAAATGAAACAAATAAAAATATGATGCCTTTAACGCTTCAAAACAACTTATCAAAACCTTCCTTCCAAAATTGTATAATGTAACCATAAGCCTTTTCAAGAGATAATCAGGAAGAGGATTGTTTAAACAAGACAAGTTGCTCAAATCAGAGGGTACGCTGATAAGTTTGATGTTTGGGGAAATCTACATGTATCAACAATTTTGGATGCTTTAAGTGAAAAAAATTCGTGTCATCCAAATAGTAATTATACTTTGGAGCTAGCATATCAATTGAAACAGAGATAAAATGTAAAAAATAAACAACAAAATTGTCCCTCAATCTTTTAAAGTGTCAATTGATATTTAAGAATACAAACCTTTCCATCCCCAGCAATATGAAATGGAGCATCCGAAACAAAGACAACCAGACGGCGAGATGTACCATTGGCACCCCAACCAATTTCCTACACAGTAAAGCAAGTTTAACAATTAATCAATTCACCCAGGAGTTTTGAATAAAAATTCAGCTTTACATAATTTTTTGAACGTAAAACTTTTATGGACAGTTTTAAGCCAGATTAGATCCATTCTTTCCAACCAATCATTGGGAGCATAAAACAGGGAAACGGACTATGTTTGCCAACTCAACATGAAGAGTCACTCTTACACATGTAGCTAACCAACAATTCAGCTCAGACCTAATCACACTATAATTGAGGTTTTTAAGCATTTTTCCTAGTACTCAAACAAAACTATCATTCCATCTAGTATCCTTAGCATATGCATCTGGTCCAGTTTCACAATTTCTCTCCAGAGAAATACAAGAGGGGGTAGTCCGTGTGATAAGAAATAAATGGCATTGACAACAGTCACATTTAATGTCCTATGTTCATGCCACTGACCTTTTCACAAGCTGCTACTTGCATCAAGGCATCAAATCCTCCTTCAGGAGCATCAAGATTACCAGAAATGACCTGATCCTTAATTTTTTGCTATAAAAGAAAGATATCAGAATGAAGTGCTCATACTATTCACTGCAGCTCAGACTAATAACAAATTCAAAATTATTTTAAGCTTAACTAAATAAAAATTAACTTTTGAACTCACTGCTGGAAAGGACACAGAAAATTACAAAATTACACTTACTGCAAAGAGTGGGGCATCATCAACAAGTGAGAGAATGTGTCTGTAGCCATATGTAGGCACACAGGTTACTTTGTCTGAAGTAATACATGGAAGCTTTGTCCTACAAATCAAACAACAATTAAACCTCACTTGTGACACTGATTCCTCTAAAAGAGAGACCTTGAAAATTCCAAGGAGAAAGAGTCCCAAGCTTAAGAGAGGAAAGTAATAAAACACTGGAAATCCCACATGAGTGCTGGCAGGGTTAACCATTCATTGGATGGTGGGGTCATAAATTTTGCAACAAAATGGCCTCTATATATTGTAGGTTAAAGTGGAATTCTAGTGGAGGCAGTGCAGCCGAGTAGCTGAATTGTCCGGGTGCCAGACTTGTAATCTGGTGGTCCTTAGTTCAAGCCCTTCACCTTGCTACTCCCTGGATATGTTCTTGGTTGCCCTAAGTTCAACTCCTTGGCTGCACTTTGCATATAACCAACCTGTCTCCCTCTGGCCAGTTGGGACTTTTAAACTCTATGTTTATTCACTATAATTATATTTGTTTATTTTAACCCTGAAAAGTCCCATTTGGGAAGCAGTCAATAAATATTATTATTATAACTAGCTGAGAGTATTTCTAATAGGGTCTATTTGTATCTTTCATTGTTCAGAAAGTAGGTTTGACCCAATTGTCCAGTTGTAGTGTCCCTACATTCTGTCAGGGGGCATGAATAAAAAAAATCAAATCCTTTGCAAAAGGGGATTGTCATCAATCAGTAAAAATTGGAAAGTTTCAAATTGAAAATGAAGAGTTACTTACTCAACTCTGATGAATGGACTGACAGTCTTGTCCACAAAAGAACCAAAGCCCAGTTTTGAATTTTTTGTGATGTTATTCATGCTATCAGCTAAAGAAATTAATCAAAAGGACACACAATTATTTCAATGTGTAATACATGAACTTATTGTACTAAACACAAGCATTGCAGTGCATAATTTTTCTGTTTCAGATTGTGAAAATGAATTTAGTTCAAAGGCAATTTGTTTCAAAACCTAAAATTCAAAAATAAACTTTAACTTCAACATATAAATTCCACTCTTCAAAAATTGTCAGGAGACATCAGCTGCAAGTCATGAACATGGGACAAAGAAAAATTGTAAGTCCCCATAAGGAATTGAACCTCAAACCTTCACTGAGCCATGGAGACTCATTGGTGAGCTTTGCCATAATGCCCAGTCAATAGAAAGCTTCAACATCCCCTCCCCCCTTCCTTCCCTGAGCAACCCATGGGCATTCCATTGTTGTCCCCATATTATAAGTATTACTTGTTCTTTAAAATGGAGGAGTTTAAAGGTTAAGAGTCTGCTCTTATGAGTTACATACTAAGAAATAAAATTTTCATGTCATAGAATGATGCTTACCAATAAAAAACCCAACAGCTGCACCAAAAACATAATATGTGAATTTGTTAAATTGTACAACATTAAATGGTTGCACAAAGAATCATTCAATATTGGGTGGAACATTTCAATGTAATTTTGGCCCAGGGGATGGGAATTTGAATGAACCAGTCTTCAAAAGTTAAAATGCCTAGGGGGGGTGCCCAAGGGGGGATGTTGAAGATTTGAAATGATCAACACATTATTAGGCTTCTTACAAACTGCTGGGTTATGCTATGTCAAAAGCCTTGTGTGGATACACAGAATTAAAAAGATGGTGAATTTCAAGCTCAGCAATAAAGTAATGAAAGAATGATCAATGTTTTTTCATCTTGTCACAAGTGTGGAACACTAGAAAATTCTGAGTCCACATGGGGAATTCCACCTCAGACCTGTGGATTCCACAACGCAACACTCTACCTCTGAGATTGTGAAATGAGCTTCAGGAAGTCTAATGCTTGGTTGATATATGAAATGCCTCCCTCATCTTATTACAATCAGCAATGTCTCTGTTAACAAGGTCAAAATTCACTATTTTCTTATCTTATTAACCTAGTAATATTTCAATGATCAACTGTTTTCTAAAATTGATTACTACAAATTATACCCTAATTATCAAACAGAATTTTAAAACATAAATTTTATTTAAAAAAACATGCAGTGCAGTATAACTGCTCCAGAGCAGTATAACTGCCCCAGTGCAGTATAACTGCCCCAGTGCAGTATAACTACTCCAGTGCAGTATAACTGCCCCAGTGCAGTATAACTGCCTCAGCGCAGTATAACTGCCATATTGATTTTCCTGTACCTATTGTTGTGGCCAAAGCAGTCAGTTTTCCCAAGTCATCTTTCATAGAGTTTGACATGTCCATGAGATAGTACAAATCTACAGGGTAGTTTTCTGCTGGTCTCACTGTTAGTCTCACTGTAGTGGCCACTCCTGTAAATCATTTACATGATTATTTATAACATTTCCCCAATCACATTATCACCACAGCTCACAAATATAAAATTCTGCACTCTTAAAGTCACATGGCCAATTTCATCAGGTATCATACATATCTCAGTTTCACTACCATGAACAGGGCGTGAAATTAATTTTTTTTTCTGATAGCCACTTGGCTCCTAAATTCTTCAAAGTGGTTGCCAAGTGAAAAAAAGTTGGTTGCCATTTTCAAAGACAAACAAAACCTTCTTTTTTTTTCTTCTAAGTTTGGGAAAAGATCTTTAACGTGCTACATAGTGGACACTAGGATGGACGATATACAACGTTAAAGCTCACTTAATTCCAAGACAGCGTCTAGTTATCGAGAGATGCATCTATTGCGTTTTGGAAACAAACTTAACGAGGAAGTTTGCGACGGATTTATCTTTGCAAATCTTTTTAATTCGCTTTATCTCTTGGTAAGGTTATGATGAAACATTCTAGTTGCCAATTTGGCGACTAATTTCCAGGATTTGGTTGCAAAAGTGAAAAAGTTAGTCGCATTGGCGCCTGTATTAGGTGCAATTTCACGCCCTGATGAAGCAACTAGAAGTATTGCACCTCCCCATAAGTTCTAGGTCATCAAACAGCCAATTACATCAGGGATAACATGTATCTCAGTTTCACTAAAATGAAGCAACTAGTGGTATTGCACCTCCTCATGGACTGGTTCTAGTTCATCATAGGCGACCTCTACAATTTGGTCAGTTTTCCTTGTCAATTTTCCAGTACAAAACTGCAATCCTGGGTGCAAATCCAAGCACTGTGAGATGTGTCTTACCCAGGTCCTCAACACACTAAACTGTAACAGTAATATTACTGGCATATTACTGTGGGACATAATAGATAAATCTCTTGTAACATATGTCTAGGTACTGGTAGGTACCAGTAACTGGTTAAGATAAAGGTTAACCTTTAGATAGTAATATAACTAGAATTGAAAAACTTCTCAATGAGTACTCCTGAAAACATCCATACAGGGGCTAGTGATAACATGACTTGCTACAAACATGTACAGATACCATGCAAGTTTACCTGATCGTAAATTCACTTTGATCCTCTGGGGTTGAACTTGGACTTTTGGTCCCACAGTACTGTCCTGTATTTCACAAAATGTATGTATACATTGTCAGAAATAGGGTTACGGTTGACTGATAAAGTAGGACAAAAATTGCCTTAATAATGAAATTAATTGAGCATTAAAAGGATTGTACTGTACCTCTTCATTATTGAACTTGCTCCCTGGATTAGAAATATTACTCACAGGACAACCAGAGTTCACTAAATTATCTTGCGTATCACAGCGGGATTGTCCAAAATTCTAAAAGGAGGGATTAAAAGTTAAATAATGCTGACTTATAGGCACCTTGTTGTAAAAATTTGCGTCTACAGTTAACATTCTCTACACAAGGGTAAACTATGATTTATCAATATCACACTCTCATAAACCCAGGCTCTTGACCAATACATACCTGGTTGGATGATGTATTTCTGGTTATGAAATAAGCCACAAGTGTTCTATTGGAGGACCATTAACAACATTTTGCTTTTACTATCATTGAAAACAATTAGGTTCCATGTTGCCTTACACATGTTCAGAGATCACAGAAGAGGCACATTCATGTGCCACTGCTCCATTGCATCTACACTCTTTTCTTACCACATTTTGATGTCATCTGTGTGGAGGGGGAGAGGGGGTGGGAGCCCAGAAGAACAAGGGACAGGAAGCAGGATCTATCTGACGGCAGGAAGTGGGAGCAGAAATGAAAAAGGCACTCACTGTTGTTTATTACTTCATTTCATTCAGTCAAAAACCAGTACACAGCAAAGTTTTACTTCCCTTTCACATCCACCAAGGTGTAAATTAAAATTTTATCAGTGAACAAATGTAATTTTTACTCAGGCTGAAAAACAGCATAATATGGCTGAAATTGGACTTCTATCGAAGTTGGATATGTGATAGGTCGATAGGTCATGAATGAGTTTTTCAGTGTCTGGAAAGCTGTAACAGTTGAAATTCTCCAACAAGCAGAGTGAGTCAGTGATTTTTATACCTCCCATAGAAGATGCAACACCAGAAAATGGTCAAGATCAAATGAAACACTTTGGCACACCTTGCCAAAAACCCATGTTTCTGTTCATTTTTATTGACCAGAAGACTGGAGTAATACAGTGAAGGGTAGGAGTCATGGCAGAGGTGCACAAAACTGTGAGAAGAGAGAAAAAGTGGTATGGGAAGTGGGAGGCTGTGACCCACCTGTCCTCTTCCCTCTCCCTTCCCACATCTGTGGTCTATCATTAAACAGACACCTGACAACATTTTAATGGATGAATTGACTACATGAATTAATATAGAGTTCTTCCAATTCCTATTTTGAACACAAACATCCAAAAACGCAAGTTGTGGGAAAGCTAAATCTCCTCTTAAACATAATCCTTTGCAAGATATATTTACTGTGAACAGAATTACCACTTGAGAGCACCAGGCACACCTGGCCACCCCAATGCACTCTCGACAAGTTGTTCTGCTTCTACAATTATCTGCACCTACATTAAAATATAGACAACACACCAAAGTTATGTTTTTATTGTATGATTTTCACAGAGTTATAAGAAAGGACCATCTCTGGTTTTAAAACAAGTTATCCATTCTCATATTCAATCACCAAAACAAAAACACTAGTTACTGCATTATGATCATGGATTAAATAGGGCTAGAGAATAGTTATTAATTATCAAAATAAACAATGACAAAAGGGCTTTTTGATATTTGGCAAAACAAAACATATTGAATTATGTTTACATGGAGCAGCTTCTGCTTGTTATTTATTTGATGTGAAAAGGAACCTTTTCTGACACACCTGAGCCAAAAAAATTTGACACAGATTGGGCAAAATGATGTTGGAAAGAGTATTTCACTTACTAACACAGAGAGAAAAGAAAAACACACTAGGTTGTACCATGTGTTTCAAATGAATGGTTTTTTTCTAATTTCACTTCTTTCAAATTATGCACAAACCCCTCATGATATATGTCAACTGTCTCAAGATCAGATAAAACTTTAACTTTGTTTGGCCTGGTTCATACTACTGCAAGGCACTGATCAAGTAAACTGTTCTGAAGGAAGAGACTAGTCTGAAAGCTTCTAACCAGATTGTATTCAATATAAATGGTAAATTTAACATGAACCACCTAAAATAGCACCCTTTTCCGTCATTCTATGCTTTCATGGAAATGGTACCGTCTATGACACAAACATACTTTGAAAATAAAATACCAAATCTTAAACCACAAAGAAATCGGACTTACCTTGACTACATACATGACCAACTATGATTGTAAATAAGACGAAATATAAAATAAATCGAGATCCTTCTTCCATTTTAACACCTATGAATAGAGTGAAACGAAACAGTGAGAACGCTAAAAGACGTTTTAGATAAACTGCCATTCAGATCAGTGGTTTCTTACATCTATTAATCATACACGCGATGGAATGATTTAAACTTACTTATAAAACAAATGTTAAGTGAATATCATCAATGAACAAATCTTGAAATGAACAAATCTTGAAATCAGGGTGTATTGTGCCGAAAGTGAATAAACAACCGATCAAGCCAATCTCTAGAAATTTATCAAGCCAAAACAAAACGAAAAACTTTAAGCTTTTGATACTTACAAATGACTTTTGTCCTATCCTTAATGTCGCTTGAATCAATGCTAACAAGTTCAACTAAGTGCTCGATGTCAAACTCTATCCATTCTCTTCTTCCACTAAGGAAGTGAGCAATACATTCCTTCACTCCAAATATGGGTATGATTGCCATATTAATTTAAAGGCGACGCCAACTTCCTATTTGGTGGGGTTCACTGACGTACTTCCGTTAGACTTACAAATAGCGGAAACTACGCATGACTCTGAACTACAGTCAGGTCAAATGTGCATCTGAACAGGAATGTATTTAAAAAGATACGTAAGGATATTTCAGCTATTTTTAGCGTCAGGAGGAAATGTACTCAATGTGATGCTATGCCATGGTAGATAAAGAATAAACCAGAAAGGAGAAAAAATTATTAAGAATGAGATTTGTAACCTTCAAGTTACAAAAATACAACGACAGTCTACGTGTCCCAAATGATGATGGAACTACGCACACACAAGAGAGGCTGGACACCTTAAGTCGAAACAAGCAGAAGGGCGGTCAAAGATGAATGATGTGCGAAAGTTACGTTGTCTAGTTATCTTTCCTTTTCCCATTTAAATTTTCAAAGATCGTTTGAAGAGGGAAGTAGGCTAAAAGTATGTTGTCTGGATGTGAGCTCCTAGGTAAGAAATTTTTAAATTATTTTCTTATCTTTTTCTTTCGAGGGGTTGCAAATTTTCTAACTGCATTTGACAAAGTTTTGAAGTGTCATAAAACTAAAAGCTCCTTACCGTTTGAAATTCATGAATTGTTGGGAAAGGAAGGAAGTCTGCACAGTTCGTCACAATAATATTTTTTCACTTCCTATTCTACAAAAAAAGCCCATCCACGGTATTTACGTTTTTCTATTTAAAATTTTATCCAAGAATAACTTTATTTGGCCTAAAACACATCGTTTTATTGAATTCTGAGTTGGAAACAACTCAGAAACAAAAACGTCAAAATCCAACAGCATTTCAGAAATAACGTTTTATTTGTCTCCAACCTACAAGTAAAGAAACAATCCGACATCCATTTGGCGCTTTTCGTTTTTCGTAAAAACTACAAAACAAAACTTCTGTTTCACGTTTTTCGTTTTGTATGCAAAGAAATACAAAAAAACAAGAACAAGAACAAGAATCAACTTCCATTTTAAAATACAGTTTTATGTTCAAACTTTAAGCATAAAACCAAGCACGAAAATCGACTTCCATTTTATCGTTTTCTGATTTACGTTTTTTCTTGGAGGGGGGGGGGGGAGAATTTGCCTTTTTTTTCAAAACAAAGTGTTGGCCCTCCCTTGCCTTTTAATAAAAAACCTGCTGACCCCCACCTTTAGGTGACTGACAAAAGTGCGACCCTCCCCTCACTACTGCATGGTATGTTCCATGCCGTAGAAACCTCAGGACATTTTACTTGTGAACGCAAAATGTTTGAATATAAATATATCTTGATAATGAAAGTGTGCGAGCTGAAACAAGAAAATGCGAACAATCAGTGTGAGATAGTTACGTTTTATAGCTGAGGTTTGAATATGGAAGTATAAACTTTGAGACTTTGTAAGTCCTTCTCCAGCTACACCAACTCCACGACCCTATCCCGCTTACAGCAGACTTTCCGACTTTCACTACCTACCAAGTACGAAAACACTTACGAGTAGCCGCAAACCTGATGATTATCAGCCTCGAGCTCAAATGAAACAGCTGGTTCAAGAGGGTAAGCTCAAAGCAGGGGATAAAGAGGCAATCAAAAATTTTTTTTCTGAAAAATACATTGTTTCAGAAAAGCTTGTTGCAGATTATATTGAGCATCTAACTG